TGATGCACGAGTGATGGTGAAAACTCGAACGTAGCTGAAAAAAATGGAGAGACTTGCTTCGTCAGGTCGAAAACCGATAGTGGGTTGTTATGGCCATTTGAGTAATTAAAATTAATGAGTTAGTTGTAGATTACTATGTTCCACATAGTTGAATAATTGGATCAACTACTTTGCAAAATTGTAGGCTTACTTATTGCCTGTGAATACAGATAAAATCTAAGTATTCATATGATCAACATTATTGGTGACCAATTGTTTTAATGTAATTTAAGGCTCATTAATTTCATCTAACAAATAAAGTAATCGTAAAGAAGGGAAAGCAATAAATAATAAAATAATTCCAGGCGCCCTCCAAAGCAGTTCGCTTCTTTTCTTACTATTTCAAAGCGGAATAGTCAAGAACATAACTTTCAAGTAGACAATGCTTTGATTGCAACTGGACTATATATTAAGGTACAGATGTGGGTACTCTTAATCGCATTGGCTTAGGTTTTCAGCTCACCCAATCAATGTGGGTACTCTTAATCGCATTGGGGCTTAGGTTTTCAGCTCACCCAATCACCCGATCAGGTGAGCTGAAATTTCAATGATTTAAAACGCAGCTTAGAAAAGAATGGATGGTACAACCAGTGGTAGAGATTGTGAACTTGAGGTCAAAGCTACTTCACCCAATCCTATTTTTGCTTTGAAATCATCTATATACAGCGGAATCGCTCACTTTTATTTAAACGGATGCTGTTCTGAGTTCATTGTTTGTGTAAATGAACTAGTTAGTTATATAGTTGTGTTCAGAAGCTCAGAAAGCCGTTTTGAATCCACAAATCCTCATAATAATGAGTAATAAAGATAAGATCAAGGTAGAACCAGACAGAGGCATTGATAAAGGCAAGAATCTGGCCAATGGGCAGGCTTGAGATATCGCCGAGTTTGTTGAAGAATGGGGCCTCCAGAAACTTAAGCGAAGTTTTGGATAAGCTTGGATATAGACATGACAGGTATTTTGATGTTCTTTCTTTGATAGCTGGTAGACACACATTGCACGAGATGCCACGGGTTAGGCCAAGGCTAGGTCAATGCCGTCCTATGGTCCAGTGCCGCGTAATGACAGATATTAACCTAGATACCTATGATTTGCTTCTGTGTAATAAGTCAGTGGTTCTACATTTGGAATAAATTGGCCATGTAGCGCTTGACCTGACTGCTGAGGCGGCAAGGGCCCACACACTTTTTGCCTTTCGCATAAAATAGTCATAAATCAACCTGTGATCGTAGCTGGCAGGGCCACCCAGGAACCCAAACTAAAGTTACCTTGAACCTCTAACTTAGTGCATTAATTAATTTTTTACATTCTTGTACTAATCTGTATGAAATACAGACTAAATATATATACTACATTTTATATTTCAACAACTGTCTTTTTATTGGATGAATTTATTGACTAGTTTCGCTAAATTGATTGTAAGAAATAAGTTTGGAATTTTTATAGAAAACGATTTGTGTGTAAAACATTAAGGCTATAAGACATAAAAAAAATTATGTAGTTTACAGATAATGCGATCAATAATTTAAAAATAAATAAAATTTTAAAATTCTTTACAACTTTTATAGATTTTAGCAATTATAGGTGTGTGCTGGTGTATAAATATTTTCTCAATCTTATGGATTTGAAATTTTAAATCAATAAAAAATCAGCCATAAAACGCCTACAAAAGTTTGCTAATAAATTCCTAAAAAAGTCACTCATTTGCGTATTAAGAAATACTTTATAACATAATAATTTCAGATTTTAGTCCTTTGTTGCGGATACACGCGTAAAAATGTATCAAATATTTAGTATGTGTTTTTTATTTAGTTTGGATGGCGCAGATGTGGAACGGGCTGAGGGGCACTGTGAGCGTACGTTTGGTCATATGGACGTGTATAATTTACATTAATGCCGACACTTTACAACTTGGCCACCACAAAATAAGCAATGATTAATGTTGATCCACTGCGGCAGTGTCAGTTTTGGTGAGGCTCGATTTACTGTGGCTTAGCTTGGTTCTGAGAATGTGCACAATATAGGAGTTTGCGGCTTATGCTGGAGTGGAACGTGTATGCATAAATCTATGCGTTGACATTTAACTGCCGTTTTTATTTTCACCGAATGAATATGGTTCGGCCAATGTAGTCTTTTGTATCCTTTCGGCTTGTGGTGTCTCTCGTAATTTGTATCTTTCTTTTGTATGAAATTATCTTTCCGCCACTTAAAATGCACAAAGTTGAGACATTCAAGTGAAATATCATAAAATTAAAAACAAATTACTTTGACGCATTCTATGTACCAGAAACGTTTAAAACAAAAATATACCCATTTGAGTTTTTAACACCAAAATTAATCATAGCTTTTAATGAGCTCCTTTGCCATGCTATCTACCTCTGCTCATTTCGACTCATTTAAGAAACGGTCAAGAGCGCCCAAGTGTGCCATATGCCCTCGGATTGTGATATATATGCTGCCAGATACATAAATATACGCGTATATGTGTAACAATGTCACAAGGGTTCATGCCAATAAATCTGTTAGCAATGAGTTATGCATAAAGATATAAATTAAAAGCGAAATTGTGCGTTTTAAGATTTATGTTAAAGAGACTTTGCCGATATGCAAGTTGGGTTATGGTACGGTTAATGTACGCTATAATTTAGAATTTGAGTATAACATACTCTGCTTTTCTATTTTATAAGTTTAGTATAATATAATAATGCGTTCATACAGATCTACATATTCATCGCCCATTAATTTCTAATCATCGTTCAATTTTTTCTTAAAATTTATTTTTTTTCTCCAAATTATTTTATTTCGTTCATTAAATTAATTGTTTGTTTACTAATATTTCATTTTAAATCAGTCGAACTACGAACTCAGCTTAATGAAACCGGCTTAGAAGCGTTTAATTAATTCGATTTTTAAATTGTATCGCATTTTAATGAGCTTTAATGGTTTCGATTTGGCATGCAAATCAAAAATCTTTGCGACCACCCACGTCGTCTATCGGTAATACGTGAAACCATCTCAGTTTGTTGTTCGCTAGCGAGTGCAAAGTGATGAGCCAGACTAAGTGTTTCAATAGTAAGGCAGACAAGCAGACAGACGGACTACCAAGCAGACAGACATGCTGCTATCTGTAGCATTTATTTTAGCTGCATTTGTAGCACAGCTCATTACGCCTGCGCATAATCATCCTCATTGACAGAATCAAAGACACAAATCATCAACTTCATTTGTTCTCGTAAAACCCATCAAATTGCTTTGATTGTTGGCTGTGCTGCACAGAGAGCGGTGCGCTGATATTGCCATATTTAACATATCATTTAGTACTAGTTTATTGCTACAAAATATTGAATATGTGATTTTCCTGCTTTTGCCAGCATTTGCCGGCATTGCCAACATTAACATATACGCCGTGGCGTATAAACCGTCAGTTGCCGTACTTTCAAGTTGACAAAAGTGTGGGCTCAGGCATGGATTTTGCTCGCATTTATTAATGGAGCTCTTTTTTGCTCTACGGCATAAATCTATGGAATAAATTGACAATTTGCTTCACAATGAAAATATTAGTTTTCCTTATTTGCATAAGCAAGCACTTACACTGGTTGGAATAAGGAATAAAAAATTTTCCGGTTAATAGAGGAATCTAATTTTTCATGGATTATGAAATGCTTGAATAAATTTTCTAGAGGAAGAAAACCGATTTTCTTATTTTATAAATAAAGATATTATGCCGAAAGTGTATAAAGGGGGACGGAAATGGTTTTAGTAGAGTGTTTTGGTAACAGACTAAGTTACACAAAACTGATGAGAAATAATTTAATTATTAGAGTTAATTAGAAATTATTTTTCTTTCTTAAACCTATATATATTGTTTATATCCATGAAAATAATGATCTTCAGAACAGTGGCGTAACTACATTTTTTAAGCCCATAAGCGCATTCTAACTAAGGAGCTCCTACTAATGTCTTTTTATACCCTTTATACGAAAAAGTGTAGAAAAGGTATATTAGGCTTGTCAAGATTTTCATAACGTCTGTTTGAAGTCTTTTTCAGTATCTGAAAAATGTATCAATTTATTCTGTGTATCACAATTAGCAAAGGCATCATTTAAATCGTTTACTCTTTCACTTTTGTTTTCATTTATTTTTAGAAAATTGTCTAGTTTTGGTAATTTCTTTAATGTTAATAATAATGCATAAATTTATGATGAGGTCCCCTAAGTTCGGGGGCCCGAAAGCGTTGCTTCCAGTCGCTTCCATGTAATTATACCACTTAAAAATTTTTAGTTGTTTATCATAAATTATTTAAAGCCATGATCACATCCTGAGTTACTATTTAACTAAGGTGCACAGAACTAGAGAAAATAATTTTTTCCTATAACCTACATATATAACATAGGATTAATGTTTATCTAAACAATGATCACAAGACTTATAGTTTCTAGCTATTCAACAGAAAATATTTGTAGCTACTATCTAGTAGTTACTAGTTTACCATTCAAATTGAGATACCACGGTTTTCTTCCTTAACCTATATAATAAGGGGCTTATATTCATCCGCACAATGTATGAATTACAACTGTCTAGTTGTTTATCATACATTACTTAAAGTCTCAATATGGTTGTTACACAAGCCTGATAATTTATTATAGACCATAGTTCTTCCCAATAATCTCTACTGCACAGTGTTTATATGCATCTAAAGAACAAAGTTACGATTCACAAGTCTTAAAAGTTTTTAATTATTCATCTCAAAAAAACTGAAGAGTAGAGTTCTTAAAATATCTACAGTAAGTCAATATAATCCACAAGAAATTATTAGCTGCCACGTACACTATTAACTGTCATCTTTTAAGATGGACTTAAAGACACTGATAGTTGTGGATTCTGTAAAAAGCAATAAATTTTCGTCCATCTTATCTGCTTGTACTTTGTGCTATTTAGAAACAAGCTCAATACATCTATTCGACTTTCATTAAAAATATTAAGTCTAGAGAGATTTTGAAACACTGGTGTTTGAAATCGACATGATTTATGGTAATATTATAATATAAATAAATATTAATTTATATAATAAATGTAAAAATATCATTATATTATTATATGTATATTATAATTATATAAGTAGTAAAAGCAATATAAAAAAAAATATTAATAAACAGAAAAGTGTAAAACATTATTTAATTTGATTGGAAAAGAAAAACCTTTGATAATTTGACAATATATTTGACATAATATTTAATAATATATTTCATAATAATAAAAATGTTTAAATAATTTTGTATTTCTACTACTTACTATTTTGATTAAAAGTGAGTTTATCACGAATATTACCATGGGATGGGTGCCACATTTAAATTGTTCCAATAAACTTATTATCCTTGAACTCAACAATACTTGAAGTTACCCTTTAACTCAAAAGTGGCAATATTTTCGATTATCCTTAATTAAAGGCAAATCGTGAAAATAATAAATTCGAAACCACATAAAATAAAACTTAATTATATAAATTTTGACAAAGTCGCCATATTGTTAGTACATCGTATTATTATGTATGTCAATTTTATGTTCCAATTATTAAGGGAGTCCTACAAATCGGCGCGTGACAATAGGACATTATTCTAAAACACACTTTGTGACGCTCCTTGTAAAAAACTACAACAACCCTATAAGAGAAAATATCAATATTGGAGCGTAGCATGCCAGAACACCAAAATATGAAGGTAGTTCCTGGGGAAGCACAGAAGACCAAAGCGCACCATGTGCAGACAAGGGTTACTTTGAAGAAAATTTATAAAGTCTCGCTAGAGAAAGTACTCTCGTATGAATGCGTGGATGGAGTTAATTATGC